GTAATGAAACAACAAAGATAAGATTACAAAGCTAATCCACACTTAACCAGATAATCTTTACTTCAGGATCATGTAACAGATGCTGATAAATCCTTACCCAAGTGATACAGCATAACATAACATATGTACATAAGTCATATATCTTTATCCTTTAAGACTATCATTTCAATACATAATGGAAATGATACATAAGACTTAATATGCAAAAGGAAATTAAGTCTGAAATGTCTGCACTGAAGTATCACGTTTATATATTTCATAAGAGTTGGGAAATTGATTATCATTCAACTATCTATCATTATCTATTCTTACAGGCTGTTACGTCACGGGGTTGCTCATCTCCTCTCTCTCTTCTCTCTCTCTCTCTCTCCTCTTCTCTCTCTCTCCCCTCTCTCCTTCGTATTCTCTTCATCTCTCTCCTCTTCTCTCGTCTCTTCCTCTCTTCTCTCTTCTCTCCTTTCCTCTCTCCTCTTCTCTCTCTCTCTCTCTCTCTCTCTCTCTCTCTCTCTCTTCGTTCTCGCCTCTCCTCTCTTCCCTCTCTCTCCCCTCCCTCTCGTCTCCTCTCCTCATCCTTCTCCCCTTCTCTTCTCTCTCTTTCCATCTTTCTTATATATTATATATATTATATATATATATATAGATATATATATATTAATAAATATTATATATATATATATACCTCATATTTCTTCCTCTCTCTCTCCTCTCTGCTCTCTCTCTCCTCTCTCCTCTCTATCTCTCTCCTCCCCTCTCCCTCTCCCTTCCCATCCCCTCTCCCTCCTTCTCCTTCTCCTTCTCCTCTCTCCCTCTCCTCCCTCCTCTGCCTCTCCCTCTCGACTCTCCTCTTTCCTCCCCTCCTCTCCCTCTCCCTCCTCTCCCTCTCCCTCTCCCTCTTCCCGGCTGAGGCTTAGTTGCGAAGAATATTCGTAATACTTGACATGCATAAATAGAGTAAATGCATATTTATTGGTCCAGACATGCATATCAAACAGGCAGAATAGATAAATATAATGAATATCTATCAGGGTTATATAGACAGATATGAATTTATTCTGTGTATAGGCCCTGTATTCATTAGGTCGGACCGTGCACAATTTTAACAAACCGACCGAAAGACTATATACGTATATAGTCTTTGGTTAGGGTGCTATTGCAGGCGATATTTCTGTTGTCACACACTGATTATTTAAACTAAAGAATTTATTAAAGAAACTCGTGTATAACTCTGGCTTACAGAGTTATACAGAGGAACAGCTATATGTTGTACAGAGGAAGCGCTTAATGTGATACAGAGGAACAGCTTAATGTTATACAGAGGGAACAGCTTTAAGTTATACACAGAGGAAAAGCTTTGGTGTTAATGAGGGGAAAACAGCTTATAACAGAGGAAACATACAGAGGAAACAGCTGAATGGTGATACCAGAATGGAAACAGCGGGAATGTATACGAGAACAGCTTGAAACAGAGTAACAGCTTGATGTTATACAGAGGAGGAAACAGCTTAATGTTATACAGAGAGAAACAGCTTGATGTTATACAGAGGAAACAGCTTGATGTTATACAGAGGAAACAGCTGAATGTTACTGATACAGAGGAAACAGCTTGATGTTATACAACAGGAACAGCTTAATTGTTATACAGAGGAAACAGCTTGTTTTATACAGAGGAAACCAGCTTGGTGTTTATACCAGAGGAACAGGCTTAATGTTATACAGAGGAAACCAGCTTGTTAATAAAAGAGGAAAAAACAGCTGATTGATACAGAGGAAACAGCTTGAATTTGTTATACAGAGGAAACAGCTTGATGTTATACAGAGGAAACAGCTTAATGTTATACAAGTTATTACAGAGGAACAGCTTCATCTACAGAGGAAACAGCTTGGTGTTATACAAGGAACAGCTGAAATGGAATCAGAGGAACAGCTTATGTTATACAGAGGAACAGTGAAAAACAGCCGGAAACAGCTTAATGTTATACAGAGGAAAACAGCTTGATGTTATACAGAGGAAAAACAGCTTACATGTTTATAAGAGGAAAAAACAGCTTGATGTTATACAGAGGAACAACAGCTACATGTTATAGAGAGGAAACAGCTTGATGTTAACAGCGGAACAGCTTAATGTTTAAACAGAGGAACAGCTTGAGTTATATCAGTTTATAGGAAAACAGCTTATTTATCAGAGAAACAGCTGATGTATACAGAGGGATGGATTTTTAATACAGCGAGGAAACAGCTTAATGTTATACGAAGGAAACAGTTGATGTTTATCAGAGGAAACAGCTGAATGTTATACAGAGGAACAGCTTAATGCTACAGAGGAAACAGCTTGATTGTTTATACAGAGGAAAACAGCTTAATTGTTAATAGGAACAAACAGCTTAGTTATACAGAGGAACAAGCTTGAATGTTATACAGAGGAAACAGCTTGAATGTTTATAACAGAGGAACGCTGGATGTTATACAGAGGAAGGCTGAACAGCTTTACAGAGTTATACAGAGGAAACAGCTTGATGTTATACAGAGGAAACAGCTTAATGTTTATACAGAGAAACAGCTATGTTATACAGAGGAAACAGCTTTGATGTACAGAGAAACATAATATACAGAGGAAACAGCTTAATGTTAACAAGAGGAAACAGCTGATGTTATATAACAGAGGAAACAGCTGATGTTGATACAAGAGAAGCAAGCAGCTTAATGTTATACAAAGAGGAAACAGCTTGAATGTTATACGAGAGGACGCTGAATATTGTGATACAGTTGAGGATATACAGAGGAAACAAAACTTGCGTATAACAGAGGAAAACAGCTGAATGTTATAGAGGAACAGCTTTATATAGCTTAATTTATACAGAGGAAACAGCTTGAATGTTATACAGATTAATGTTTATAGCAGAGGACAACAATTTGATTTATACAGAGGAACAGCTGAATGTTATACCAGAGGAAACCAGCTTAATTGTTAACAGAGGAAAACAGACTTGATGTTTCAGAGGAAACAGCTTGAATGTTATACAGAGGAAACAAATACAGGCAGTTAAAGTTATAATACAGAGGAAACAGAGCTTGATGTTATACAGAGGAGCGGCTTAATGTTATACCGAGGAAACAGCTGAATGTTATAACCAGAGGAAACAGCTTACAGAGGATGCTTAATGTTATATACAGAGGAAACAGCTCAATGTTATACAGAGGAAACAGCTTAATGTTATACAGAGGAAACAGCTTAATGTTTATGCAGAGGAAACAGCTGAATGTTATACAGAGGAACACAGCTGAATGTTTAATACAGAGGAAACAGCTTAATGTTATACAGAGACAGACAGCTGAATGTTTACAGAGGAACAGCTTAATGTTATACAGAGGAAAGCTTAGTTTATACAAGGAAACAGCCTGAATGATATAATATATACAGAGGAAACAGCTTAATTGTTATACAGAGGAAGCAGCTTAAATGTTATAACAGAGGAAACAGCTTAATGTTATAACAGAAGGGAAAAGCTAATGTTATACAGAGGAAACAGCTTAATGTTATATAGAGGAACACAGCTGAATGTTATACCAGAGGAAACAGCTTAATAGTTATACAGAGGAAACAGCTTAATGTTATACAGAGGAAACAGCTAAATGTTATACAGAGGAAACAGGCTGAATGTTATACAGAGGAAACAGCTTAATGTTATACAGAGGAAACGCTTAATTTATACAGAGGAAACAAAGTTAAATTATACAGAGGAACAGCTGATGTTTATAAGAGGAAAAGCTTAATGTTAATAGAGGAAACAGCTGAATGTTATACAGAGGGGAAACAGCTTAATATACAGAGGAAACAGCTTAAAATGTTATACAGAGGAAACACTTAATGTTATACAGAGGAAACAGCTTAATGTTATAACAGAGGAAACAGCTTTAATGTTATAATCAGAGGAAAGCTTAATGTTAATACAGAGGAAACAGTTAATTATCAGGAAGCAGCTTAAATGTTATTACAGAGAAACAGCTTAATGTTATACAGCTTTAATGTTATTAGGACAGCTTAATGTTATATAGGGAAACAGCTGATGTTTATAAGAGAAACAGGCTTAATGTTATACAGAGGAAACAGCTGAATGTTATACAGAGGAAAACAGCCTGAATGTTTATTAGCAGAGGAACAGCTTAATGTTTTATATGAGGAACACAGCTGATGTTTTATAATACAGAGGAACAGCCCTAATGATATACAAGGCGAAGAGCTTAATGTTATAACCAGCGGAAACAAAGCCTCTCCTTTTTTTTAATGTTTCAGGAGAGGAAACAGCTTAAATGTTATAGATGGAAACAGCTTTTAATGTTTATAATCACAGAGGAAACAAGCTTAATGTTAATATCAGAGGAAACAGTTGAATGTTATAACAGAGGAAACAGCTTAATGTTATCAGAGGGAAACAGCTGAATGTTAATTATACAAGAGGAAACAGTCTTATGTTATACACAGAGGAAACAGCTTAAAATGTTAATAGTAGNATGTATATATGTGTGTGTGTGTGTGTGTGTGTGTGTGTGTGTGTGTGTGTGTGTGTGTGTGTGTGTGTGTGTGTGTGTGTGTGTATGTGTGTGTGTGTGTATATATATATATATATATATATATATATATATATATATATATATATATATATATATATATATATATATATATATATATATATATATATATATATATATATATATATATATATATATATATATATATATATATAATATATATATATATATGTATATGTATATATATATGTATATATATATATATATATATATATATATATATATATATATATATATATATATATATATATATATATATATATATATATACATGTGTATATATGTATATATACATATACATTCATACATACATGCAAAATAGATTCATCATACAGTAATATGATTTATTTATTTTTCTGTCTCTCTCCCCTGTAAATATTCATGTGAGTCACTTGCTCTTCTTTACAGGAAGAGTTGAATGTGATGCTAGTGTGATGGACGGACGCACCCTGCGGCACGGGGCAGTGGGTGCTGTGCCGGGGGTGAGGAACCCTGTGCTGCTGGCCAGACAGATCCTGGAGGCCCAGTCTCAGCCACTGCCAGGGGGCCTTGTACCACCAAGGTCGGTGTTTCCTGTGGCTTATGCTCTTCTGTCTCTTCTTAGCCTCTGACTAGGAGCCTCTCTCTCCCTTCTTTCATCCTGTTTCTCCTCCCTCTTTCTCATTCTGACTGTATCTTTCTTTCTTTCCATGCACTCTCTTTCTTTCTATTTCTCTTTTCCCTCTTTTTCTCTTTCTCTTTTTCTCCCTCTTTTCTCTTCACTTTCTCCCTCTTTCTCTCTGTCTCTTTTTTATCTTTCTACTTCATATTCAGCCAATTGCTTTTAATTTTACATAATCAGCAAGTTAAATTTCTTGTCTTTTTTCTCCTTTCCCTCCTCTTTTTTTTCTTTTTCCTATACCTTCTCACAGGTGTTCTTTTATGTAGTTTGCTTTTTTTTTAAATTCAGTTTTGTCTTTACAGTTTCTCTTTTGCCTTCTCATGTTAAATCATCATCATTGTCTCCTCCATCTTTCCCTTGCTCTCTCCCTCTTTTCTTTTTCTACTTGTTGATTACTTAAGATTTACAATCAGCTTCAGTATCTTTAAATCGTCCTTCTCTTTACAGTTTTTTGGCAGGCTCGGGAGCTCAGGTATGGGCTGCTTCCAACAATATTGAGACTTGTGAGCCAGCTGAGTTAATTGCTGGTGAGTGCACAGATGTTCTTGTTGTATTTATCCTTTCTTTTGAGGTCCTTTGTTTTATCAGTCAGTAAGTTTTTTTTCTATGTTTATGATTTGTTTGGCATTTGATTTGCATAGTTCTTTTACTGTTGTTATTTTTCCTAAAAGCAGTAAAGAAGCATTTATTTTCATCCTCACCTGCAGTAGGAAAAGCTTCCTTCTGCCCTTGTACCTATGCCAGAAAACACTAGATTGATAAGTAAAAATGGCCTTTGTTCTTTGTGTAGAGAGGTCGCAAAGGATCCACGAAGAGAGCCTGAGGAACATCCAAAGATTGGAAGAGGGAGGAGCCAAGAGGAGAAGGTACGCTTTGCCCGAAGAAGAGGAGGAAATGCAGGTATGGAGAGGGGAAATTGGACAAGAGAATACAAGAATGAAATCAAAAGAAATGGAAATAGAATTAAATATAGGAATGACTATAGAAGCAATGGACCTTTTTCCTTCAAAATATTTGAAATATCTATAGTGATATTATCATCATCTATAAAATTGTTAGAATACAGCCTTAATCAATTCTCCTAAACCTGCCTTTTCTCCCAATCAGGGTGGTTTGCTAGACACCGTTGGTGCAGTGTGTGTGGACAGCTCGGGCTACATAGCAAGTGCTGTTTCAAGCGGGGGCCTACTCCTCAAACACACAGGCAGAGTGGGCCAGGCCGCAGTCTATGGCTGCGGATGCTGGGCAGAGAATAACTGCGATGGTATGCACGAGCTCTTGGGTTGTCCTGATTTTATCTGGAGGTTGAATTACTTTCTTTTTTCATTGTCTCTTTCAGTCATTAAGACATTTATTCATTCTTTGCATGTATTTTTGTGGATTATTTTTATCTCTTTCTCTCATTTGCTCACACATTTTATATACCATTCCTTCATTCTTTGTACCAGTGATCACCAACTCAAACTCATGTTTATAGGTCAAGGTTTTCTTTGTTTCTTGAATAAAGTATTAGTTACAACACAGTCGGCGTCATTCTCATATTCCCCAACATGCTCTGCCTCAAACTGACCTGCAGTCTCATTTCTCTTTCCACCACTGTCCTTTCACCAATGAATTGTTAGGTTGTATTGAGTAAAATCAAAGAATTTTATCTTTCCTTCTGGTTCCCTGTTGACTCAGGCCTTCACAATGTAGGCTAGTGTCCGACGGGTTCTGTAAGGATAAGGGAGTGTAAGGGGTAATGCTCAGCCATAACATTTCACTTTTGTTTGATGTTATGGCCTGTCTTTTAAGTTAGTTAAATCTGCCTATTAAATCTGTTGATAAAAGATATGGGTCTATTTTGCATTAGGCAGTGGTTTCTGCATTTTTGGTATCATAAGTCACTTACTTTGTCTGTCTTCATTTAATCAAATGTCATTAACTATGTACCTGCTTTGCGCCAGGCAGTGGTGTCAGCATAGGAGTGAGTACAACCGGATGTGGGGAGCACCTCATCCGTACCATGTTTGCTAGACTCTGTGCCCGGGCAGCCATCTCACCGCACCTTGGTTCCAACATCATTGAGACGGTCACCACACACTTCCTGGGTAAGGGGATCAGATGGCAGATGTGGTGTCCATTACATGGAAAAAGGGAGAATTTTCTTTAAAATATATGTGAATGAACAGAAATATAGATGTATTTTGTTATTTTTTCTCCTCTTTTTTCTTAAATCAAATATTTTTCTCATAAATAAAGAAAATATCTCCTTAAAAATATATACTTCTAAATCATAATCACTCTTTACAGAATCCGATTTTTTGGAGGGTGTTCATCCACGGATGGCCGGGGCTCTGATCCTCCGACACGACCCACAGGGAGCAGTGAGTGACCTGTACTGGCTTCACACCACACGTACGATGGGCGTCTGCTACATGACCACCAACGACCGTAAACCACAGGTAAAGGGGAGTTATATGGCTGGATAAGGGGGTTCCATGTTATAGTTTTTTGTTTGCAGTTCGTATGAAATGCAAAATGTGTTTGGCAATATAAAGGTAATCTTAATGCAAGACTAACGTTTTTGAATTACATAATGCACTGATTTCCAATTAAATCTATAAAAATTATAACTATACCAATGTATTTGCCGTGCAAGTTTCACAAAAGTTATATTCCTAAATCTCTTGTTAAAGATTCATAAATGTTTGCTGAAGATAACATTAGTATTATTTGGCCATGATAATCAGTATTATTAAGCCTTGATTATAGCCAAAAAAAACAGTTTGTCAAAGTTAAAATGTCAAACCATGTGGTAGACATTCCTTGGTGCAGTTTGTCCAAGACTTTCATTTAGCCATTCAGCAGCAAGATCTTAGAAGTGCTAACCAAGAATATGTAACACTGCAGGGGCCTAGAATTAAGTGAAATGTGCAGAAAAATGCAGAAGTAACGTTGATATGGTTGCATAGAGATGTATTTGCCCACTGCTGATTCAGTACAAGGAGAAAGCCCATTTAGTGCTCTCCCTGAACTGTTCTTCAAACATAGCTACTTGTTGATTATTATACATATTTAATAGCAGTATGAATTCTCTACTGCTTTTTTTTCTACTTTTTTTATTATATCTTATTCAATATATATTCATCAATTATGTATTATAAGTGGGCCTTTTGATTTCTTATTTTTCTCATACTTTTTGGTATGTGATATGGCCAAGTTTTGCAATGGTTAGACTTGCAGATCTTAAATTTATGAAAGTTAAGGACCAACTGTGAAAAGAGTGTTTATTTTCTTACCCCTTTTCCTACCCTCTCCTGCCCCCAACCCTCCAAAGGCCCAGTTCTCAGAGCTCGCAGAAGACAAGATTGGTATCTCAGTAAACCTCCAGTGCAAATCCTTTGGAGCTGGTGTTCCTGTGACCACCTCCCAGGAGCTCCAACCTGGTCCCTCGCGTGTGGGCTTAGGGGGCCTCCTATCAGGGGAAGAAGAGCACAGCAAGAGCGAGTCCAGTGACGACGACGATGAACCAGGGTAACAGAGAGGACAGAAGAGACAGAGAGAGGAATCTTAGAAAAGGGAGAGATGTTTCATGACAAAATGGAAGTTTTTTTTTTCTCTCTCTCTCTCCATTCTCTCTCCCTTTTGCTCTCTCTTTCTCTTAACCCTTAGTAAGAAAAAGAAAAGAATAAAAAATGAATAAAATATATGGAAGAACAAGCTGGAGGTGAGTTTACCGAGCAATGAAGAAGATTCACTGACGATGTTGTAAGAGCTGTATTGGAATATTGTAACGGGAAAGATTTGCAGTTTTGGAATACTTGAAGTGCGTTTAAATCTATATTGGAACTGGCATCAAATGCTCAGAGATTCCCAGGGTAATGATATTTTACAATGATATTGTAATATGCAGCTGTTTTTTCAGGGTATGATCCTTTAACAATTGAAAAATGTTCTCAAAGTGTGTCGTAGTTTTGTCATTCTGGTTCAGTGTTCATTGTAAAACGCTTCTGCCTGGAACCACATGTTTATGGGAGGTGTTTTCAAGATGATTTTCCATCTCTTCAGGGTAAATGTGAGACAGTCTGGCAACTGCTGCATTTCAAAATCACTCTAGGATTAAGGTTCTCTTAACTGTCACTGCCAAACGTGCACAGCCACATACCAGTATTTTCCCAGCATTTCCATATTAACACAGTTCTTTCCAGAAAGTGCATTACAAGCCTGTGGTAGCCGGGTGAGTAGGTTGTACCTCAAACCTATATCCTACGCTTTGGAAGCCACAAAATTTCTCCCCAAGAGATCTTATTATCCACGGGGGCCTTAAGAGTTGTACGGAATTGCTATCGGTGCGAAAGCTCACTACTTTGGCATGGCAGTTGGTGTTAATAATAGAATTGCATATGTCCGTTATGGTGCATATGCACGTCATGCCTTATTAGGAGCTGCAGATATACCTCATAGAGAATTTCCTGACGAGCTCACTGCGCCTGGAGAGCGTACGACTCGTGAGAAGATTGTGTATGGGGGTAAGTTACTCTCCCAGCAACAGAAGAAAAAAAACCTTACTCAGGTACCACAGGTGTTATGACTGCCACACAGGAACCATACGCTACCTCAGTTGTGCCACCAACCAACAGTCCTTCACTGGCCTGCAGCATGTCCCCCTAGAGACATTATGCAAAAGAGTCCTTAGCTCTCCTTCAAGGCTTTTATACTCTAGGTATTTGCAGCAAGGAATGATTATGATGATAACAACAACATGATTAATGATATTTTGGATATATAATTATTAAGGACAGTAAGCTTACTGTTTCTTAGCTCTAAGTAGGCAGCTATATGGGACCATTTGTTGCAAGGTCACTGAAGGACTGAACCGCTCAGGGTGGGCTTAGGAGGGGACGTCACACGTACTGTTGCTCATGCTGCTAACACTCGTGCTCTTATTGCATTGTATCAAGAGGCCACATGACCTCTCCGTATATATATATATATGTACATATATATATATGTATGTATGTATATCTCTGGTTTGCAGAAACAGGTGATGATGATGATGATGATGATGATGATGACAATGAAGTTGATGTTGTTGCAGACAGTCTGACCAGGTTGGAGCAAACCAGTAGGAGTACAAACACTTATCTGCCCATAATGCTCATACTCCCATTCATGTTGTTTGCCCATTCTCTGTGATTGTCAGGACTGCCAGCCAGTTGTCTATGCTTCCTCCGGTGACTAATTATTCATAATTGTAATGTCTTTTATATACATTCCATAATATTGTTGGTGCACTTTTTATATAATATGTTCCCTCTCACCCTCAATCATGTGTTCGTAATAGCTACTACTAGCCCTATCGGCAGCATGAGCAATGGTTACGGTTGTCCTCCCCAAGCTGTACACTTGGTGAGCTCCACAAGTGCCTGTTGAACCACTATACCTCAAAAGTCTCCATAGTATCTCATTCCAGTGGACCCATATCAGGAGTTTTGTTGTGCCCTTACATAGCCGATCATAAAAAAAAAAATAAAGTGGAGGCCGGGCTAACAAGCAGAGCTGCACAGAGGCTAAACTTGTTGAATGTTTCTTGCATTTGTTCAGAAGGCAGCCGGTCTCCACGCCACTCGACCCACAATAGTTCTCATATCAATGAAGGTTGGTAAGAGGCGATGCTTACCGGCTATGCTCACGACCCCGTACTTGTTACCGATGCCTATAAGCTCGTTCAGACCAACCGTGGGCAACTGTTGGTAATTACCGTCTTATTTCCAACCCACTTTTTACTGTGACGTGTTTGTATGTTAAGCATTTTTTGACATTTTGTTTCTTTTTGAATATTAATCGTTATTTTTTTCTTTATTATTATTTTTATTGCCTCTTATGGCATAGCTGTAACTGTAGCTTGCATTAGTAGGTTTGAGCTTGATTTATGTGTATTGTACTTTTAACTTGGGGTGACCCGTGCCCAATTAGCTTCTCGTAGGTATGACAGCAAGGCGTCAGGGACTCAGGTCTTCATTATAGGGTGAATAAATAAATAAATAAAAAAGAAGAAAAAAAATTAAAATTGCTTCAGAAGCCTTGTTCTCTACATTTTACGGTTGGTAATATCTTTTTTCGTCAGTGTGACTAAACTCTTTGCTGCGACACCATTGTGTGGCGAGCCGTTTACCTTCCCTCAGTTAACCAGCACTGCCAGTGTGAATGAGTGCTCATCTAGACATGCTACTCAGATGCTGTTTCAGGATGTGGTTAAAGATCAAGAATGAGTGAAAAGGTTTTTTTTTCTTTCTTTTTATTTGCTAGTTAAGTTATGATGATAATAACAATAACTTGGTGTTGTGGTGATTTTCCTTTTTTTTATATATGTGCATAATTATTATTATTTATATTTTTTCCTCTCCTCTCTTTTAATCTTTAATCATAATATAGATAAGGAATTAATTTTGCAATAGCTTTCAGTATTGCCAACTTGCTGGGCATTCCGCTGTGAATGACCCAGGCCAATTTCCCACCACAGTATCACCTGCATCCAAAGACCATGCAATGGAGGGGTACCTGTTACTATGCAGCAGGTTTTGTTATCAGTAGGAGTGCATACATAGTATATGGTTATTATCTTTTTTTATGGAGTTAGATGTGATTTATTTTTTAATAGATTTTTTTCTTTTTTTCTCTCTCTCTCTTTCCTTCTCTATTCTTTTCCATTCTGGATTTCTTTGTTTTTCTCTCTCCTAGGACCAAACTCAGTCTAGTTCTGTTTTTGAGGTTTGAAGTGAAACATCCAGCATTGAAATCTCTATTTTTCTTGCCCTCTTCTTCAAATGGTATATTTTTTATTACTCATGGTCCCGAAATTCTTTATTTTCTGTTTATCCTTCCAGTTCTTTATCCTTATCCATATCCTTGTCAGTGTCATTCTTGACTTTTGTTTCCTTTCCTTCTTCTATCTTCTGACCCTATTTCTCTTCCTCTTTCCTTCCTCCCCACTGGCCTCTGCCCCTGTTTCTTCTCCTCCTTCCCCCCAACACTTCTGCCTTTTCCAATTCCTCCCCCTCTTCCTTTCTTCTTTTTCTTCTTCTCCATCTTTTTATTTCTGTTTGTCTTCTCAATGCTGACCTTTTCAGTAAGAACAGACTGAGTTGGGACCGATCCATGTTTGGCCTGCGAATAAGATAGAAGGGGCTCTAAAGAAAGCAATGTACTTTTGTCTCTTCTTTCTTTCTTTCTTTCCTTTTGGTGCTTTTACGAGAAACAAATGAAAATGTATGCTTATTTTTTCATATATTGTTTATTTTTTGGTGTCTAGGAAGTTGAGGAACAATTCTCTTAGGTCATTTCTCGAGATGTAAAGGGAAATTGGTGTAGATGTTTATTGAAAAAAAAGAGTATGGATATATTAGATATCGGTTGATTATTTAAACAGTTTTTACAATGTTGTTTTACAGGTACACCACTGATTTTCTGGGCATAATTATTAGCAGGAACTTGACTTTCCTGCCGTGGCCAGATTAGTTCACTGGGCAGCCACAGTTAGTATTAAGTGTGGGTGCAGTCACATTATTGTTTACACTGCACTGGATGGTGTAGCTTTCTTGATTTTGTGCAATTTCTAGCTTATTTTGTTATGAATTCCAAATAAAGTGTATGTGTTATAGGTAGTCCATAATGCTTTAGAGCTGCAGGAGGTACATGATTAAGAGTTCAGAGGCATATGATTTAATATTATTGTATAACTGTTGTTGGTCTGGCTAAAAGGATGATCCAGCTCTGTTGGAGAATCAAGGTTTACCAGGTAAAGTCAGTGGTGTCCCGTAAATGTTAACGGAATTGTTTTACATGTTGCAATGGAAATGTAAGCCGATTCTTTTTAGGGACAAAGAAAGAAATATTTAGGTTTGCATCAGCTATATATTAAAGGACTTGTGGTAAATTAACATCCATAGTCATTGCATTTTTAGCTTTTGAGATTGTCCAAAATTATGAAGCAGACAGTTTATTTTGTTTTGTAGAGAGAGTATTATTGATGTTGGCAATTTTTGAATAAGATTTATTTTCAAAACTCTATAAAAAAGATATCAACTGAAAGTACAGGGATATGTGAAAAATCTTGTGCTGGGTTTTTATGAATGAAAATAGACCTAGGAGAGACTGATTAACAAATTCAAGATTTCAGAATTAAGGGATTTTTTTATGTATTGATGTGGGT